CAACTTCGAGGCATAGCGCATGGCTAAGAAAGTACCCGACAATCCCTATCTGGCCGCACGCTATGAATGGAACGAGCGCTATGGCTCTTATGTGCGTGCAGCAACCGCTTGGCGTACGATCGGCATTGTCTCAATGACCATGGCAGTGATCGGCTTCGGCTACGCGCTGTACCAGTCCACTCAGGTCAAGCTCGTGCCTTACATTGTCGAGGTCGATCAGCTCGGCAATTCGGTGGCGGGCGGGTTCCCCGCACAGATCGAATATGCCGATGAGCGCGTGGTGCGCGCGATGCTTGGCCAGTGGGTAACGAACTTCCGCTCTATCACACCCGATACGGTCGTGCAGACCGGGTACATCAACCGCACCTATGCCTTCCTACGGCGGCAAGATCCTTCGACCGAAAAGGTCAATGCGTGGTTCCGCAACCAATCGCCGTTCGACGCTGCGCGCGAAAAGACCGTTTCCGTCGAAATCAACAACGTGGTGGCCCTGTCCAACCAGTCCTATCAGATCGATTGGACCGAGATCGAGCGCGATAGGCAGGGCAGGGAATTGCAGACCCGACGCTGGCGCGGAGTTGCCACCGTTACACTATCGCCGCCTCAAGACGAGGCTATCATTCGTCTCAATCCGATCGGTCTTTACCTGGCCGATTTCGATTGGACCGCTCAGCTTTAATTTCCATCGCTCGCGGAGAGAGTAATGTTCAACACCAGATATTTGCGCGCGGGCGTGTGTGCGTTTGCCTTGATGGCGGCAAGCCTCGCTCCTTCGGCTACTTTCGCAGCCGACCAGAACGCCCAACGGGGCACCAGTCTCTCGGGCCAGTGGCAGAACGCCCCGGCCGTCATGACGCGGGGCGCAGACGGCACCGTGATCTATCTCTACGGCGAAACTCAGCCGACCGTTGTTTGTTCCCCATTGCAACTGTGCGAAATTGCGTTGCAGCCCGGTGAAGCCGTTCGCGACGTTCTGGTGGGCGACACGGTTCGTTGGCAGGTCGAGCCGGCGTCGTCGGGCTCGCCCGAAGGCCCGCGCATTCATCTTGTGGTCAAACCCGCCGAAGCGGGGCTCAAGACGAGTATGGTCGTCACCACGTCTCGGCGCACCTACCATATCAATCTCGAGTCGCGTTCAAGCGGCTATATGGCTCGCGTCGCTTT